CAGTGTCTATCCCCATTGATCCACGTCCTCTCTAGACTTCTCTCTCAGGTATTGATTGGGTTCAAGACGGCGATGCGCCACTGGATACGTATGGGAACTTGGGAGTGTATGGAAGCCCTGCTGGCTGCTATCTCGTCGACTTTCTGTTCTGGCCCCTAACCACGGGTGAACTGCGGTAGAGCCAGACCCCCAACGCTAGCTGGATGGATACAAACAAAATCATTGACGCGCCGGTGCTGTATTCTTGCAGACCGACCCTTTCCAACAGAACTCGACTGATAGAGAAGGCCGATAGGGACCAGGGTCGCTGCGCTGGTGTTCTCTTCGCCTCATGAGCGCAGAAACGTAGCAGGGTCTCAGGAGGGGCGCAGGGGCGCATGTGCGGCGATTGTGCTGTCCCATTCGATGCTGGTACCAATCCATTCACTCAACTCCCTTCCGCCCTGATAAGATCCTTCCCTAGGCTTGTCGCCCCTCCCCAGTCGTCCGTTTGTCCTCTGGCCCGACTCGTCCGGCAAAACCCACGTCGCCGCCAGTGCAACTGCCCCCGGGCCTGTGCAGTTCTCGGGCGCAAACTCTACTTGGTTTCGTGATGCGGCCTGTCCCCCGAGCTGATCTCGCCGATATCTGGCCTGGACCGGACGCCGTCGCCCGGATGACAGCCTGGGTGTCGCCCCCCACGCTGCACACGAGTGCTGTACAGTAAGCCGCTCAGACCGGGCCCAAATTGCGCACGGCGCTGCCTCGCACCTGGACGCCAGGACTCCTGTGCGAGGACGGTTGCCACCCCCTCGGCGAGACCGCTGGCCCCAGATGCGAGCAGTGCTCCGATGGTGCGTTGACACGCCTTTGATGAATGCAGATATGGACTGCGTTGGACTGTGCCTTTTGTCGCCGCGAGGGCGGGTGCGGCCTGCTGCTGCGCGCGGCCCTCCCCGCACGGGTGCGCCGCCCTGCGCGTTCTGCGCGCAGAGCGGCGACGCACCCAGCAGCGGAGCAGACCACCCAGTGCGGGCGCCCGTCGCGCAGACCGGGACGGTGCGGCGGAGGGGGCGTGTGAGGTGTTTCCCGCCGGCCAGGTCGCGAAATGGGCCGAGGAGCCACCCCATGACCTGCCGCGCAGGCCCCGGATATACACAAGAGCACGCCCCGTGCCTGGCACGACGGCCTGCGCGAGCGCAAAGAAGAGTCGCGGATGCCTCTTCTGTCCTCGCATGCTGTTGGAGAGGATACAGAGGAGGCGTCCGTGTGAGCGTATGAGCTGCCGGGGGCGATCGCACCAACACTATCGCGCCCCGTGCCTTGCTTCTCCGTGCCCGGTGATTTCATCATGCGCACATGCTGAATGGGGTGTGTTCGTGTGGGTTGCCAGTGGACGTCCATGCCCGGAAGGGTGCAGCATGTATAGGTGTCGTCGCACACAGTACCACGCACTCGGTCTGCACTGGGTCCCGCCCCCTCCATAATGATGCTGTTCGGTGCTTCGAGAGCACACCAAGGCTCTCGCTTACTTGCGCCAGATTGAACATGCTCTGTTCACAAATGCCATTGCAAATGCCCAGCGTGCTCACTCAGACAATCTTCGCGGTTCTCACACCAACAATCGCATCAAGGCATCCCAACTCCGCCAGGTCGTGTCCTAAGTATAGTGCGGCATTGAGGGGTGATAGTCATTATGCATGCTCTATTGAATCGGCTGATCGCCGCACGATACAGCTTATTGCTACCGCGGTGAAGGTGAAGCTTTCAGGGTCATGCGCCTGAACGACTCCCAGGCTTGAGGTCCATATGCATGGTACCACAAACCAAATGCTGCCCCGCCAAGATGGGCATAGTGGTCAAACATTCTGTTGGAGCCAGTCCATGAGTTGAGAAACACAGTCAAAGCACCCTGCTCAACTCACTTCCACCCACGTAAGATGCCAACAATGTCAAGGGCCACCATGCCGGCCATGCCATACTGTATACTTATTGGTGGGGTGGGCGGAAAAATCAGTGAAATTTGCGTTTCGGGAAATGCCATGGCGGTCATGGTGAATGCAGCGTAGACGGCACCCGAGGCACCAAGAGACGGCCTGATGACTGAGGCTACAGTTTCTAGACTAGCTGCAGCGGCCGCTGAGGTTGCAAACGGTGATGCGGTTAGAGGCTTTGACGACATCAGCCGAGAGACAAGCCTTGGGTAAGTGAGCCGGGTAGCGGCGACGTGTGAGACTACGGAGGAAAACATGCCAGCTGACAACACAGTGATCAGAAGACGTTGAGCACGGTCGAATACGAGCTCACCAGAAATGAAAAATGCCAGGAAGTGCCAGTTAGCGGTAGATTCCGGTAAACGTGCAGAGTCGCTCTGCTGTGCTTGACCGAGATAATGGTGGGCATATGCACCTGACAGAGGTGATCAGCGGCACCAACTTCTATAACTGAAAGGCGCCTCACCGAAGCCTGACAAGGCTAGAGTGTTGAACAACAAGTGCATGAAGCTGCTGTGACTAATGCACCCGAGGGGCATCAGAGCAATATCCTTATTCGCAAGTGGGCAGCTTACCTGAAGGTGCTAGTTATCATAGTATATGATAGACCCGACAGCGGATGGTGTGTGAAGTTCCTCATCATGATTGGATGTAGACGTGGAAGCTGCCAGGCGAGCCATACGAGCCCATTCACCGCCCCAATCATATAGCATACCCGCGTGCCTTCACGTTGCTTCAAAAAGTAGTCGGCAGTCTGGGTATAACTGTAGGAGACCATCGCTTTTATGTCTTCGGGCAGACCCGAAATTGCTTGTTGGAGTCTGTCCAAACCCTTTTGCCATTTCTGTGTATTGGCGTGAATGTAGCAGGACATTGTGCGGAATCCAATAGCCATACCATGCGGAGCTCAAGGAATCTCGCCCTCCGGATTTCGTCATTACCTGGTGCTCTTACGGCCCAGATTGCCCGCGACTGCCCAAGCCTCTCGATCCAATAACGAGTATTTGAGTTTGTTTGTTCAGCAGCAACGCCATATATCAGAGCTGACCCGAAGATGAAGAACTAGACGGGCTACTGATAGGATGAATGTCTCGCACGTAGGATAGGAAAGCACTCACGAGAACTTGTCTCCCGGCTCCCGGACGTCTGACTCGCTCGACGAAAGAGATGGGATCGCTTGGAGGAGAAGGCTCGGGGTGGGCTTCAGGCGACGGCCGCGAGCTATGCACGTCACCCAAGGAGCGTATTCGTGGAAAAGGATGCTTCGAAGTAGATGAGAATGAACGGCAAAACCCACGGTGGACCGTCTTGCCCAGGCGCAATGTCCAGAGCATGGTGAGACTACTGGCAAATCAGCAATGCGGCTGCTACAAGGCTAATCTAGGTTTCGACGCGCGCAACGTCCCTCCGACGCAGAGTAGTGTGTGTGCTTTCAAGCGACCTCTAGATTGAGAATGAGAAGTAGTACCGGTGTGTTTAATCCAGACTCCCAGTAATCGGATGGGAGAAGTTCCAAGGTGGTATCTTGAAGTCTAAATTTTACAGGCTCATGTAAGGCGGAAATCGACAGAGTCGAGAAGGGCGACGCGAATGTTTTCGGCAAACACGTTCGTGCCGCGATGTTGGTAATGAAGCGCAATTGGGGTCTACTGTTGGATAATAGAAGACTTTTGTTCACTTGTTCAGATGCTGCTCTCCGGTGCGTCTTCCGAATTCAGAGCAGTTGCGACAGATATGCGTCGAAGTCAATGGGATGAGAACATCGCAAGTTCGCCGGAGAAGACTCCGACCAGAATGCACGTGATCGTAGCGTATTGCGAGTTCGCCGTTGCAAGATCTTCCCCAGCGCGCTCGCTCGCTCTCATCGCGCCAAAAATTATCCGAATTGGCAGCAGGCGGTTTATTCTGTTAGCGCAGCCGCTACAATGTTTTACTATCTCTCTTTTCTCCGTCCGCCGCCCTTGCAGGCTGCTCCGTTTGGCACGATCCCAGTTACACCTCAGGTCGCGAACGATTTACGCACCGAACTGTACGGCGATTCTCAGGAGATCTTCTATGCTTGGTCTTACCCGCCCCGCGCGAATGGCGCATCCAATGCTTTCCCGGAGATTACCAAGCCTCAGAAACTGACCATTTGGCGGCAGGGGAGTGCTTACAAGGAGATTCCCGTCCCACTCCCTTCTGGGATTCGAGAGGGACAGCTATGCCGCCTCGTCCTCACCGCACATCCACAGGGCTTTCCACACGTTATAAATCTGGAGTCGTTGAAGCTCGGAGAACGCCCATTGCCCGTTATGTCTATGCCAATACTCTTTAGTGCTCGCAGCCTGCATCCGAAAGGTAAAACTGGAGCCCCGACCGCCGGAAAGCAGGAGCAGGTCGAGCGGATCTACAGAATACCGACAGGTCCTCAACAACAAGTTTTCATATCTGTCAAGGAACAGACGTCTTTTGACCTGGATAAAGTACGTCGGTGGGCTCATAACCTGTGGCAGTATGGCCATAACGCTTCGAAGAAATTATAGAAAGTGTGGGATAGTGGTATTGGTCTAAGCTCGTGGATAGTGGGTTTGGCGCACGGAGATTCTGACGGCGACATCCCTCCTCTTTTGATTGAGTTAAGGGATGCCTTACTATCCCCCCAACCTCGCCGCATCGTGGAGTTAGGTGCGTGAGATGGTGGCACAACTTCAATATCAATCTGATAATGTATTACTTATAGGTGCTGGTACGGGCATTGTATCCATAGCGCTGGGGGCTCTCCGCTCCGCAACTCATCCTTCAGACGAAGGCTGCATTATCACTACTGACTTAGGTATCCTCATCATACTGTGCTATATCTACCGCATTCGCTGATCTACATCTCGACGCCCAGCGTCAGCCATGCCACTTCTCGAACATAATATCGCTACAAATAATGCGGTATATCCGTCATCATCCTCGCATCCCAACGCAGTGGTCCTGGACTGGGACGAAGAACAGCTACCGGACGAGGTCTTGGGTGTTGCCGGCGGGTTTCATGCAATAATGTACTTATATTCACCGGTTCTTCCACGGGGTGTATCACTGACCGGCTGATGCAGAATGGCTGATGTAACTTACAACACATCTTCGTTTCCACCACTCATCCGCACATTGTCGAAACTGATCAAACTGGGATCGACGTCTGAGTGGCGGAGGCCGCTCATTCTTCTAGGCTACAAAGAGCGAGATCCGGCAGAGCGTTCTCTGTGGGAGATGTCAAAAGATATTGGGGTGAATTTTGTGCAGGTCGGAGAAAGGCATGGTGCAGGAGGCGAAGTAGTCGAGGTGTGGATAGGAACAATGCAATGAATATTCAGGCCATGAATCTGATTAGATCGTCGCCCGAGTTCCGATTATGTAACGTGATCTACGCGAGGACTTGCCCTGGCCACTGACACTTGCGCCTGTGCTTCTCCTCACTACTTTCAACTCTCTGGCTGCTCTCCCTGGTGGCGAGTCAGACGCTTTCCCCGGCAATCATGGCAGCGAGCGAGGAGCGATACTCTCCATCCTCCTGGGACAATGCCTCCGACAATCAACACTCCCTACATCAGCGCAATGCGTACTCTGTAGTGTCGGGGGAGTCGGTTGCTACGAACGGCGGAATGCCTCTCTCGCCTACCAAGTCAGATTCGACACCCCGCTCAAGTGTGGAGTCTCCAGGAAGGTATTCAAGCTCGCAGATGCGTGAAGGTGTACATGCCGGGGCCTCAGAGGGGACGGGTACCATTGAGAGCGTTGCGCTCGTGGATCAAGGGTTCGACGAGAGTGTGTTGAGGGCGCTGTGTAAGCTCAATGTGAGTACTCGAATAATTTTGTTTAGTTGCTGGATTTCTGATCCTCAATTTGCCACTCTATAGTGTGGTATACCTTTACTCAACGACAGGATCAAGCAGAGTCTTGCATCATGTAAGGTAGGCATGTCACAGCTGCTGTTGTTTCTCGTCATCCGAACACGAGCTCCCATGCACCCCGAACTGCACTGTGCACGTATCGCCACATTGTTCATACACATCTCATGCCCCGAGGCTTAAGCTGTGCGAGCACTTTGCCGCAGTCAAAAGATCGTGATTTCAATAATACATGACTGAAGGTTAACCGTCCCTGTCTCTGTCTTACGGGTTCCATAGGAGGCTGTTACATTCTTTAAGAAACGCGCTATGCTGGAAGAAGAGTACGGACGAAATTTGCACAAATTGGCCAGAGCCACCAATGATGCGTATGCTACCAGTGACGGGAAAGCTGGGTAGAGCAAGTTCAGATCTGACTATAGAACATATGAACTCATCTCCCCCTAGGTCCTATGTTTCGGCATGGCATTCTGCTCTGAGAAACCATGAACAAATTGCACAGAACAAGATGCAATTTGCCGCGCGTCTGCACGAAATGTGCGAAGACCTCAATGTTCTGATTAAAGAGGTAGACAAAAACAGGAAGGTGGTGCGTAAGGTATCGGTTCTTTTTGAGAAATATCTGTATCGACGAGTCTTCAGTCTAAGGACATGTCCAACAAGTATGAGAAAAGTCTAAATGACTCCACGACATATAAGGAGAAGTGCAAAGCAAAGTTTGACGCAACTGCAGAAGAGCTCGAGCGTCTTCTGATGCAAAAAGAGGGTGAGCCGTACAGGGACACGCCTGTTCAAGGGCGATCTCCAGGCGGAGTCGGGGGCAAGAGGGCAATTGGAAAGGCTGTAGCCAAAGGTGGCATGCTGCTGAAGGGAAGAAATCCAGGAAACGTATGTCTAAATCAATTCATGTGGTCACAGGATGTGACCTTCTGCCGTGTAGCTTCAACGACAAGAAGAGGATGTTCGAGCTCGTATGTCCCGAGAATCAGATGCATTTCGAGATGCGGCACACAAAACCCAAGGGATTCGCCAAGAATACTACAACTTCCAGTACCCACGCCTCCTTCGAGTAATAGGTTTTCCCCAATACATGCGGCTTGCTACTGACAGCGTGAACGGAACAGGCATTGAAGGAGTGTGTTGACGAGATTGACCTTGGTCTGCAGTATCACCTCATTCGATACGGATTCCTGTGCGAAAGCACTGTTTTACAGGACGGTCTCACGCTGACACCGTTGGACGAAACCGGTAGTTCTCCCGCCTTCTTTTACTTTACGATGCCGACTGACGAGTGGATCGAAGCCCCGCCAGGATTGAAGGCAACTCTAGAAGCAATTGACAATCGCACAGACTTCAACACTTACATGCAGAGTTACTCGTTCACTCACGAATATGCGAGCAACCGCGGACCTAGTCGAGATGATAGGGATGACGATATAGTAAGCTTCTGAGTATAGCAGTCTCACTCTCATCTTATGTCTTTCGCTTCTTCAGCTCCCACCGATTCCTCCCCCGCGTGTGTATAACGCGGCACAGATAACTGACAGAGGCCGGCCGACGTTCGGTGTCGACCTTGCCGAACAGATGGCAAGGGACGATGTAGATGTCCCGCCTATTGTGGTCAAGTGCTGTGAGGCGCTAGAGAAGTATGGACTGGAGTCTCAGGGTTTATACCGCGTCGGCGGCCCGCAAAGTAAGATCAATAAGCTAAAGGAAATGCTTGATAGAGGTGCTTAACTCCACAGCTTGGCTTGACATGTTCCCTTCTGATACTCTTTTTGGTTCTCGTAGATCTTGAATCAGTGAACTTGGACTTGGAGGAATGGTCTACTGACACCAGCAATGTCACGAGTGTCCTGAAGATGTGGTTCCGAGAGCTACCCGATCCATTGTTTACGACGAACTTGCATCGTGCCTTCATAGACGCCGCATGTAAATTACACTTTGCACACTGTTCGATGTCCTCCGTTACTGACTCCCGTATAGATATCGAAAACGAGCGATTGCGACATATACGGTTACACGAACGTATCAACGAACTGCCGGACCCCAATTATGCGACGCTGAAATATTTCATGGGCCATCTCCACAAGTAAGTCGGAGGTTAGGAATTGCCCCGGGCTCGTACTCATGAATATGACTGTCAGGGTTACCCAATATGAAGCGGTGAACTCGATGGGATATTATAATTTAAGTGTTGTATTCGGCCCAACCCTCTTCGGTCCAGCTCCGCATAATCCAAACGATCAGACGAATGGTATTGCCGACGCTAACGCGCAGAACAAGGTGACATTTTCAGTCAGCAATTCATCCCCTCTACTGACTCCGCGAACCTTCAGGCGGTTGAGACGATTTTAGAACACTATACAGACATCTTCGTCGACGAGAACGAGGAGGCTTAGAGACGTGTCCCGCCACACTGCCGCCTCGCGTGCCTTCCACCATTTCTATGTTTTTCTGTGTTGCACTTGGATTCATATTATACCCGCATCTGCACTGTATCCTCTCGCCTCACCCCTCAGATAGCTGTCATCGTAACCCCGTTAGCTATGGTACTGTCTTTCGCCACATCTTCCGCCGAGCTGTGCTCGTTGCCCTTCTCTTTCGGACGCTTGTATTATGGTCGCACTGTAGTTCTGATACCTATCTTATTAAATTAATTCTCTCGGGTCTCCAATGTAGTTTTAAATTCAGATCAGTTATGGACATTCGTGACAGTAGCACTCTCGTCCCGTAATCATCTAGATTCTCAGAGTTGACTCGGCGGCTAATACGTTCCTCCCTTGATGAGTTGTTCTCGATGCCACGCGTCCGAGTCCTGAGGTAGTGGATCTAGTCGGTTGATAATACCGCATTCTCCTGCAGACCTCACTTCACTCCATGCCCTCCCAAATATACTAGCAGCGAGTGATTACGGTGGCAGCGCATCCGGAGTTTTGACAGGTGTGCTGGCCAGTGGCGGCGCATGAGAACACGTTGCCACGCCTATCCATGCAATATCTCTTCAAGTCTATCTATGAAACGTACGCACCGTTGCATCCTTCTCAGCGGCCAGCCAGACCAAAGGCACCACTTCACGGTAGAATTGGTGCGGTACGGCTCGGCTGGAAGATTTTCATCAAAGCTCTGCGTAGACATGACGGTAATAATAACCGGGTGACATCGAATAAAGGTCAGTTCGTTCACTCTAGACGAGTCTCATGGAAGATTCCTCACTCGATGCCCATTAGCAGATGGGATGCCAGTCCCTCTTCAACTCTGCAAGGCTCTCGCCACGATAACCTTCATTGAGCCGCCAGCGTCGTCTAGCAGTATCCGAGTACCATAACTGCCATGAAATACAAGCCCAGAGGTCAAAGTTTTCGCTCGCGGGTATCCTCTCGCTGACAGCCCCCGCCGTGATGTAAATCGTGGTGGGGATCGCGGTACTGAAGTAAGCCTCTTCAAGCGTGTGAGTCATTTAATGCAATGTAAGTATTAAGGAGGGCAATGTACCGTGATGTTGCAGGGCGTTCGTACACTCAGACAGTCGAAATATGCAATCACATCCCGCCGCCTCTCCAGGAATCTGTACGCACAGAAGGAATATCTGCCCGATTAATTGACTTTATCGGTATGCCTCCATCACTACATACAAGTTGTGCTCGGCTGAGGGCAGCGAGATCTTTCGCTCATGCACGATGTGGACCAATTGGAATTCAAGTTGGCGACAAAATTCTGGAATCAAATCGCTGCGAAGATGAGCGCCCCGCGAAACGGCTTCAATTGGATGTTTGTGCCGAAGGAAACGACACAAAAATATAGGAGTTCAGATGCTTTGCAGGAGCTGTCTAGAAGCCCGTCTCTGTTCGCACCCGAGTATCAAACGTTTCTGGGCGTGGATTGGACGTTGATCGACTTTTGTGTGGTCAATGAGACGACGGGACGGACAAGTGTTGGGCATTACCTGCCATTCGAGTATTACGAACCCGAGCGACTCGTACTGCCAGTGGTGAGTGTTTGATCTCTTGTAATAGTGGCCACTGAGCGGCAAGGGTCTCTGACAATTCGTAAAATTTGAATATCTACATCTTGCCGTTATGGACGGGGATTAGAAGGGCGCAATCATTACTTCATGATTGACAAAAATTTTATGAACGGGGATCTGAAAGATGTTTAGTTTTTGGTTCATACTAAACAAATATTCTAGGGAATATAACCCCTTGATGAGTATTTCAGCGAAACCGTGATGACGGAGACCAACCGTCACGCGGCCCACCTGCCCGTCCAACTCCGTACTTGCAGGAGTAATTGTAACCCAAGTACCGCAAAAATAATCGTAGGCCTCTCTGCTACGTCTGTCGATGCGCTGGATGTCCCTGGAGTCCTTTTCCATCGCAGCATGATAATGGCCGCATAATTCAGATAGGGACGTCTGCAACGGTGGATTCTGAGGTATAGGCTCGAATTCTGTCATTCTGTCATTTTGTGAACTGACACAATGCTCTTGAAGGTTTTCATGACCCGTGCACCTTTCGGCGGTCTCTCTAGTAGACGGCCAAGAATCCCACCGCTCTGTGGTACGTACACCAAGCGCACCAAGCAGAAGAAACTGTCAGCCTGGCGGGACGAAGTCGAAAATTTGTCATCACGGACGTCCGACCATTTCTGAGGTAGTAGCCTCCAGCAGCTCATACAGTGACATCCCAGCACTCGCTGGTATTGTCTCATACAACGGCGGATATACCCCAGTCCCCAATACGCTGCCAGCACAACAGCCACCTGAAGCACCCGGCCAGGATGCGACCCTGGGGCTCTTGAACTCTGATAAGTCTTCGGAGGAGATCCGCGCCATGCTCCTGGCTCCTTCTGCCCACGCAACAGGCACCCTGGCGGATCGCACTGCGGATGTGGCAGGGGCGAACCAGCGTCCGGCGTCGACCTGCTGGAACAAATGACACGGGACCAAGCGTGCATCCCTCCCATTGTTATCGACTGTTGTGAGGCGATCGAGAATTGTGGGCTGTATTCCCAGCGCATATACCGTATAAGCGCGCGAATGTTCGAGCGGAGGTATTGGAGGAGCTGCTAGATAGAGGTGAGCGTTTCTTGTGCCTCGGTTCTGTGGACCGGGCGTTGAATCTGCCTTGCGTTGTACAGATCTCGGCTCGGTGAATTACCTTTGATGATTCAGCGTAGCAGCTGTCATGCTCGAAAGGCGGATGAGAGAGCTGCTTGGACTGGCAATGATAAGGGTTTCTGGATGACGATGCTACGTCGTGAAATGCAGCGGCCGCGATTTTTTGTTCCACTTGAAGGAATCGAGCTCAAACGTCTGCGGCACATGTCAACACGAACGCGTCCGAAATTAACAGCCGGACGCGCCGCTCGAGGTGAATCTCATGGGATATCAGGTGAGTGAGTGCCGTCATTCTGGGTACTTGTGTGCTCAGAGCAGAGATCCGACAGAATTCAACATGTTGGCAAGAATACGATGCCGACTCCGAGTCTGGCTGCCGTTTTTGCGGGGCCACTTGTGGCATTGCGAGCCTTCTGTGCGCAACAGAGCCCGAACACGGAGACGATTCCCCCTGACTGGGACAAGTTTGGCCTGAAGATCAAGCGAGAGAGCCCGATCGTTGTGAAAGTATGTTTTGCTCGTAGACTGGAGCACAGGTTGGGCCATGCAGACCGCTTTGGACTATGATGCAGATGTACGCGGGTAGCCAGACGAAATACAAACTATGCAGCGCAGGGCAAGACAGTCTTTTCATTGCCTATGATATTCTTATACGCGGTGTCCAATATGATATATTTTCTCCGTATGAAGGTCACCATGCCCGCCTGCTCCCACCTCGCCTACGTCACTGGGTTGCAGCTGCGTTCTCATGGTTATTTCGCTGCGCTGGTTCCTGCTGCGCGTACGAACCAGATCAAACTGTACAAGACGAACCATACTTTATCGAGCATTCACTTCCGGGGGCATTTACCCCACACACATGCCGGGCTCATTCACACCACCGACAAAGCGGCAAATGCGCGGGTGCGTCCGACCGAGGCTCGAGCACGTCACAAGTGGCCGGTATGAGCCCGCCGAGGGCGTCCGTCAGATCCAGGCCATCCATCCGGTCTATAAGGCGATAAGCCGTCCGTTGCAAGTACACTATGGGAGGTATGCTAAGCATTTTTCCGCTCGGGGCGTTAGCCCACGGGGCAGGGGTAGTCAGTAGTAGTAGTATCCATCACGACGCACGCTGCCAGGCTCGAGCCGCGGCCAGCGCATGCTCCGCCGTCCGCCTGCCTGCCCGCAGCGCGTGCCGCCGTCCAGTCCCCTCGGCACGCCAAGTGCCTCTACCAAGCCAGGCCCCCTGAGGGGAGAAGTCTGTGGAGACCAAACGTGAGCGTGGACACGCCGCGGGAGAGACCGCGCGCACCGGGTTCTGCCACCGCGTCCGCCGCAGGTGGCTACCCGTCGGGGGTCTGGCCGGCCTAGTGCCGCGAGTAGCGCGGCGCGGACTGACTCACCCAGATGCGCTCCGGGGTGAGCCGCCACTCGGTCTTGGACGGGAAGACGACGGAGCGCAGGGATGGGCAGCTGCGCCCCCACGTCGTGCATAGCGCCGTCTCCTCGAGCGAACTGCCCGAGCCAGAGTTGGAGACGGGCGAGGCAGACAGGTCGAGCTGGTAGAGAGCAGGGAAGGCGCCGATGACGGGAGTGAGGCCTGCGAGGATGCTCTAGAGATGGCAGGGCAGTGAGCGGAGTGTGCGGGCGGCTCGAAATTTGGAGCACGAATTGGACTCACGATTCCGGTAAAGGAGTGATGCAGGGTGTGCCGCAGGGCAAGCTTGAATTTGAGGGTCTCTATGCTGGTTAGGTGGTGCGAGACGTCACGCAGCACGTTTGGGGTGAGCGGGACGGCGCTGATGTCGAGCCAGCACATCTTGACGCTGCCCTGAGCGATCCTGGAGAGCTCCATGTCGGTGATGTGCTCCTGACCGACGAGGGAGAGACAGCGCACGGGGCGGCCGGGGATGAGGGATGCGGCAGCGAAGGGGGTCCCGCGAAAGGCAGAGAGGACGGGGAGGTGATGTGGGGCGAGATGGAGCGGACCGTAGTGATCGACGAGGCGCATGTGGACAATGGAGGGGGTCATGGCAAGAAAGGGCTCGACGGTGGACTCTGCAGGGTAGTACTTTGCAGGCAGGCTGCCGCGGCCGAGACCACAGATGGCGAAGAAACGAAGGCCGGGAAAACGACAGCCATTGAGAACGTCCTGGACGCCGATGGGGGTGCCTATGAGGCCGAGGGCGAGGTCGAGGTCTTCGAGCTGGACGAGGGTGCGGAGGGCCTGGTTGAGGAGGTCGAGGACGGGGTCGACGAAGGGGAGGTACTGGTCGTGGAGGCCGGGGTCTGTCTGCCATCGGACGTTGAGGGACCTGACGAGGAGGGCGAGGTGGGGGTGGGCGAGGAGGGACTGGCAGCAGCGCTGGGTCCTTGCGGGGACGGGAGAAGAGACGGGAAGCAGCTCAAGAATCGAGATGTTGGAGTACAGGATCCGCTCGGCAATCGCTTGGAATCTGGAGGATGCACGGATCACGAGGGTGAGCACGTCGGGCTGGAGGTGCTCGAAGACGGCGAAGAGGGTCTCGTTCGGGAGGGCGGCGGTCATGGGGGAGGGAGGAGGACTACGCCGGGGACGAGGAGGGGGCACGGGCGGACCGAGGGCTCATAAGGAGGCGAGCCGAGATTCCACGAGCAGGACGGGCAGCAGCAGGAGGCAGCGCGATCAAGGCGATAGTCCAGACGGTATTTATCACTCTGGAGACGGATAAATCACGGAGAATGCGCGCTCCCTTCCCAGCTCGCCTCGCTGTCCCCAACGGCAGCGCGGACAGAGATCGCTCGGAAGTCCCTGCGCAGGGCCAGGCAGCTCCGAGTCCTCGACGACCCCCCTCCGACGGCCATGGCCATGCACCCAGCGGCCTCGCCGGGCAGGGACAGGCTCAGCACCCGGCAGTGGTGGAATGCACGGACAAGAACCCTCGCGGTGAACTACACATCGCATGCCGCTAGACGCAACCCAGCTGCCGGAAGATGCAAACACACTTCTCGTCGCACACAGAACAGAAGACGAAACAAGTCCTGTTGTACACTAGATAAAAATACACCGAACAATACCCGGCACCCTCCTACGCCCCAAACCCATACAACGTGCGCCCCGATCGCTTCAGCGCGTACACAACATCCAGCGCAGTCACCGTCTTCCGCTTTGCGTGCTCCGTGTATGTCACAGAGTCCCGAATCACCTAGACCTGGCTCAGCTTCGCAAACTCAGCGGCACAACACGCGCACTCACGTTCTCCAGGAAAATCTTGAGCACTCCTCGCGTCTCCTCGTAAATAAGCCCCGAGATACGCTTGACACCACCTCGCCGCGCAAGACGACGAATGGCAGGCTTCGTGATACCTGAAGAAGCATCGTCTGAGACACGAACCAGCCAAGGCGCCAATACTACACACCTTGGATGTTATCGCGGAGAATCTTCCGGTGACGCTTAGCACCACCCTTTCCGAGACCCTACCCAAAAGAAAGCATCGAATGAGCGCTCCGTTTGCCCTAGCCTTGCGAACAGAACCCACCTTGCCACCCTTTCCACGGCCAGACATGTTGCAGGAAAATTGATAAGTTTAAAAGGTGCAAAAGAGACGTAGAGCGGCGATAGCGCGGAAGATAGAGGCGGCGGGGACGAGGGAACAGTTGGGCACCGCTTTCCGCGCCCGTCGCCTTATATACCCTGCGTGGGCGGCACGCCGCACGTGGCCAAACTCTATTTTGTTGAATGCGTGTCAACGCGTCGGTGGCACGTGTTTGGACGCGTTGTGGACGCGTCGCGCCTCCATAAAGGCGCGCATACCCTCAGCTACCGATCAATCTACCTCCCGCCTCTCGACCCGCCCGCTCAGCACTTTCCGGACTCCGCCAACTTTCCGCATCACTCTATATCATAAACAATGGCCCGCACCAAGCAAACCGCCCGTAAATCTACTGGTGGTGAGCATCAAATAACCCGACTCTTCAGACTCCGAATGTAGACTCACCGCTTCGCTCCAGGTAAGGCACCTCGTAAGCAACTTGCGGCAAAGTCTGCACGCAAGACAGCAACAGCAGTAAGTCTCCTGCAGTCATTAGCAGTCAACATCCTCAACTATGTCTTCAGACCGCGACTGGTGGTGTGAAGAAGCCCCATCGCTTCCGTCCCGGTACCGTCGCCCTGCGTGAAATCCGGCGGTACCAGAAGTCGACCGAGCTGCTCATCCGCAAGCTTCCTTTCCAACGTCTTGTCCGTGAGATCGCGCAAGACTTCAAGGTGCGCAGTTCCACGCGCCTCAATGTCCTCGCAGTGACTGACGCAGCGATACACAGACTGACCTCCGTTTCCAATCATCCGCCGTCATGGCCCTCCAGGAGGCGTCGGAGGCGTATCTCGTCTCGCTGTTTGAAGACACCAACCTGGCCGCGATCCACGCGAAGCGCGTCACGATCCAGCCAAAAGACTTGGTGAGTTTGAATTTGCGGCCTTCTCCCTCGGCGCAAGTTGACTAATGCGGAGCGCAGGCCCTGGCGCGCCGTCTGCGAGGAGAGCGAACGTAAACATGTGTATTGCTATCTGTACCTTATAGTATCTGTAGTATTTATTGTTTCTTATTCATTTTTGGCTGTCAGCGAACACATGTTCCGTGCGCGCGCATGGAGGGAGCTCGAACCACCATACAGTTACGGTGCAATCGCTAACGCTGCACTCGGACTTGGGTGTGGGGCCTGGGACGCATGGGAAACGAAGTTAATTGAAGTGAGAATTAGATGTAGCAGAGAACACAGAACACTGAGTGGGTAAATAGATGAGGGTATGAGGTCCGGACGAGTGACCAGAGCCGTAATCCAAGAGGGATAGATCCCCGAGATCCATGGTGGGTGGCCGATAGCAATGCACGGTGTTAGGCGAGGTCGTCAGCTTCCCCACCATACCGCTTTGGCAGCTGTGTAGCATCAATAAGGGGCAGAAGTGCCGCGCCGATAGTCTTTGGGCCACTGCCCACCATGCTAAATTTCTCCAGTGTCTTGGCAGACAAGAAAGGCTTGAAGAGCCAGAAGACCCAGGCCATTAAGCCAGGCACATTGACGAAGAACTTGCTGGACTGCCATGGGAGAGTCGGTCAGTGAGCGCGAGAGTCCGGCAGCCTGCCGGGGGCCACTCAGGCACAGAGACGCACCAGGAACTCGGGGTAGTAGTTCTGGAAGAGAGCACTGGCCTGGGACGCGGCCGCCTTTTGGTTTGCATCTCTCCCCGCCATCATGGAGACGCCGTCGTAGTCTAGACGCAGTCGCGCAAATCAGCGGCGGAGGGCGAAAGTACAAGGCACGCGGACATCCCACGCACCGTGGATCTGGACCATCTGGTCGACCGTCTCAAAGTCAAGCAGCTCGATGCACTGTTCCATAAAGGCGACACGCCAACTACAGCGGCAATGGCGCCGCGGGAACATGACGTGAGTATCGCAGGTCCTGGCAAGTGCGAGCCCGGCGGACGTACCGGAGGAACCGCTCGACGTCGCCGAACACAGCGTTTAGATTCTTATTGGCCCCGTAGAGATTGTATCTGTACAGAGTGGAGGGATCAGGTCAATGTCACGCCGCTGCGTCAGCGAAGGGCGAGGGCGCACACTACCGGCCTGTTATGCGTGTCGTGGCCAGAGATGCGGCCGAGCCCGCCGAAGATCCCATCCGGAAACTCCTCCGCGCAGGCCTGCTCGACCTTGAACTCTTCTCGCCAGCGAAGTGTGTCGAGCAGCATCTTCTGCGCGTCGGCGACGTTGAGGTTCCTGGGGTGTCACGGGCGTAAGCTGCGTGCATGTCCGAGATCGCTCCCACCACGCACCGCGCGCGCAGAAACTTGACGAGGACAACGCTCACACGTGCGTCGCTCGCGTTCTCCGGGTCAATCTTCACGCCCCAGAGCGTGATGGGGCCCGCTTTGGCCGTCTCTCGCGCGGGATATGCCTCGTTGAATATGGCGGAAAGGCGTCCCTAGCGCCCTCGTTCAGCCGTGAGCGCATCCAGACAGAAATAACTACGGATACCCACCCGGAGTTCCCTCACCGCCTTCCACTCTTCGTCGGTGAACTGCCGTGTCAAGGCATTCTGCGGATCGCCCTCTGCATTGTGGATCATACGGTGAGAGCGCACCAGGCCCAGAGCTCTCTGCAGCTCACCTTCTTTGGAGAGATTGGGGGCTGCGGCCTCAGGCTCTGGAAGTACAGCGGTCGCGGTCGACTCAGTCATGGTGGTTGAGAAGAGAGCTGCATTAGGCATTCACAAGGAGGGCGCCGCGGGTGTCAATTATCTGATAAGATACGGTGTGAAATTGATCGCTGCCCGCTCGGCTCGGCACGCGGGTTGGGCCAAATTGATCTGTACTGTATCGGTTCAGTTCGGATAGCAATGCAACTTATCTGGTCCTAAAATGGCAATTTGTGCTCTCTCTCGCTCGTTCACATAGACCCACTGGTTCGGGTCCCTCAGCATGAGTTTCAAGAAGAGGTGCGTTGTTAGTATGCTACTTGCACAGCCAAAATAAACAATAGAGCGTGCTGTTCCTAGCAAGCTCGACCTTCTCATCCGTGTCCGATATTCAAACCCTCTCCCGGCACCACCATGTCCTCCCAAATTGCTCGACACGCCCACCGACCCCATGCGCTATGCACGACCAGAATTTCTGGACGACATTGCCGCAGACACACCCTTGCCCATGATTGTCGACGGAGACCTCGGCATGCCATTGGACTTATCGCGATGGGAGTGTTTGTGGGGGGAGAACGGTGACGACTCTGGTACGTGTATCTCTTGGGGGACCTGGAGGTTCGTGGCGGGTTCTTGCTCGCCCTCACCCAGCACACCGAATCTCACCGTGCTTACGACCTGTAGAACTCAACCCGGATCCTGACAATCCGCCGGTGCTCGATCCGAAAGACGAATTATTACTCGCAGACCCTTCCACGTCTACTCCATTCAGCAGTAATGGATTCAGCACGTCAGGGCTGACACCATCGTCCTCACAGACAATGATGCCCAACGTACCGTGGCTACGGAAAACAGAGTACCTCAGCCGCGAGGGAGTTACCCGAGCCTCGCTCTCACAAGAGGCGTACGTCCTATTTGGGCTCTATATGTATCTTCCTCACTTTTTATCGCAACAGTAAACACAACATGGATGCTGCTATTGACATCTCACGGTCGGCGCAGATACGCGATATCGAAGCGTCGTTCGCCGTGACAGAGAACTTCGATTTGAAGACATTAAGACATCCCAATAAGCCCAATGTCACAGCTGTGGAGTCATACGAGATCTTCCCCGACGCGGAGATCTGGGCAAACGCGTACGATCTGTTCAGATTCTCAGAGCGGCCTGGGGAGCGGCCACCAGATGTGTGTGAATTTCTTTTACCCTGCTTCGAGTTGCTCACGCACTCGGATATCCCAGGTGGAAGATCCACGACTGGATTGCGCCATCTTGCGGCCCATGGAGTCGGACGGGGACCATTTCTTGGCGTACTACCTCACAAAAGAAGACGAACTCGCGGTCGAGTTCAAGAAAATGCGGCTGGCGCGGTCACCAGACGCGACGGAGGAAGAGGAGGTGCGTCATGTCGGTCAATCTCACACTCTCGTCGAATAACGCCATCCCTATCTTTCCACCGCTGTTTAGCCGACACCGTTCCATTTCGTCCGAGATTACGAGACTGTCAAAGTGGAGCAGGAAGTGCCGAACGAGTTCCTGCTCGTTATCGACGACGGAGATGAAGACCTCGCCGACGAGGGCGACGAAGATACAAAACACAGGAAGAGCAGGCCAAAGGGCGCGTATTATAAGAATATCGAGCGGAAGATGTTGCTCAAGAAGAAGCGTAATAATGTATGTGGCTTGCCCTGCTGCCGCTGTCCTTAACGGAGTCTCATCGCGAGCTAGGCATATGAGGCGTACTTGGACAAGTGGGACGTGATTAACATAACACATGCGCGGATGAGCCAGGAAGAAGAGACCGAGCGAGAGGAGGTGCTTGCGGAGGTCATGGACCCCATGTACCTTCTCTCGCGTGGCGACGCGGATGCTGAAGGGGAGGTGGACGATTCGATACCGCTTGACGCGAACGGTGCCTCAGGCGGCGGCGGTCTCACGGAGGATGCACTGGAGGTATTTGGCGAGGAGTAGGGCATAGCTTTGTATGCATATCTTGTAATTGGATGCTCATCACAGCCAACATTAACTCAGCTATCTTACATAGCTCAGGCGGAGTCCGATCGACTTGGGCTACAAAGGTGTATGGTCATTTATAGCTCTTGTGTGTTGGACCAAACGAGACGAGCCTCAAATATAATGCAGACGACGGGTCTGGGAAAAGACGGGGGGGAAGATGGTGAATGATTCAGCGTCACTGAAGGCAGCATCCTATCGATCAAGCGATCGAACGACAGGGTACTTGCGAGGCTCCTCTCCGAAATCGGATAATGATGTCGCAAGAGATTATGCACTAACACAGGGTTGGTCATACATATCTATACGTGAAAGACATGGAGAAAGGAGGCTGATGAGGCACAGCGACTTGTCAAGTATCAAAGATACCTGCCGTATCCCGCCTAACCCCTGTCTTTGTCTTCGGCGCAACTGGACATACTAGGCCGAGCATCACTGATGCGCTGCTGGTGACTCTATGAACTCGTCACTTTATCATCTCTAGAGTGTGGGCGTTATAGTCCAACCAAGTTCTTTGCGGAAGTCGGAAGTGAACAAACTCAGCATGAAAAGCTTGGGAATCTGCGTTGTAGATTTCACCTTAGGTAGTGTCGAAAGGCTCATGTTGCTTGCTGGGCTCGAGGTGCTCCTTAGCAGTATCACCTCCATAGTGCTCACGGACCGAATATTCAGTTTTGTCGTAGCGGATGAAGTGAAGCGCGCCATCCCATGCGGCTTAGTACGTCGGGTGCGGAATGGAGAATCCCCATGAGCCTGTAAAATATCCTGCATCGCAGACTTGCGTCGGAAGCTGCAGCTGATCCTCCTATATCCAGAAAGTGGATATCCGCGACGTCGTACAACTAGGAGTCGTATGTACATTCATTGACGTTGGGTGACGAATGCAACTTCCCCTCACCGACATGATCCACATCGGTTGAGTTGTAGTGAGGATCATCGCCGATGAGCGAAAACTGATCAATAAGTCATCATATGGGAGGTCTTTAAGACGCAATTCGAAGCTCTGAATATTTTCGAGACAACCTCTGGCCGTTAAAGGAGCGAAGCACAGATATCTGTATCTGTAAATTTATTCGATAGATTTGCCTACTGACTCAGAAAATTTCCGACTCACCCTGGAGAATGTTGTCCAGCGCTCGGCTGTGGTCAAGCGCAGTTTGAAATCACAGAGGGTGAGGGCGAATACGCTCACTCGGCATAATTCCAGTATATAATCGGTATGCATTTCCTCTGAGAATTCACTGGAGAATTCGCTCTGGCAATGCTGGATGCTAGAGAATTGCACCTAGGTATTATAGTAGAAGATTACGTGAGAGCCTTTTGTGAGAATTGGCGAAGATTACCTTGTCTGTAAATTCGCTGCGAGTAGGGTAGTCGCAACCCCAAATAACATATGAATCAAAGACTGTTCGCTCATTGCATAGGCTCTGAAGCATTTGATAAGGACTTCCTATGTCTTAAATTGGTATGCCACGGCCGTCTTCAGCCATGATTGTCATGCGCGCATATGCTGAGTTGTCACCTACTTCACAAATTACCGAGATTCGACATACTACTCGTGTATGTGGTGCATACATACTAGGGTTTCATATTCTGACTAGCGTTGAAATACATTAGTTTAATTTGCAATAGTCGTGAGGAAAATGTTAGAAACAAACCGGTCCACCGAGACTTAGACCCTAAGATTCGAGCGCACATATGGAGTGTCGACTCGGAACTACAAGTCTACAGCTTCTTGCAGACGCGGCAGCTTAGCGCCGATACTAGTGAGATCTGAGATTGCTGGCGCCAAAGGCAGATTTGTTTAACTGTGACCGTGGTGACAACTTTACCGACACAGTAAGTGTGTCTCTTTGAGTTCCATATTGCATTGAACTATTGGCACTTAGACATAACCTGATCCAGATTCCTCACACCAAGAGGTGCTGTGGAATCAGGGCAGAATACGCTACTTGGTAGAATGCCCGACTCGCTACGCAATTCCCAGTATCATGAGTCAGCGCCAGGATTGAGAATGTCGACCTATATCCCGGTATCGGACTGGTTACTTTGTCTATAAAGTGAGCTTCGAGTGAACGAGATGAGCTGCAACAACCCCTCAGGCAACCAGACTCACGCATCATCATGGCCTCTCTACCTCTTGTCATCATCCTTGGAGCTACCGGGCGCACGGGGCAGTCCATTGCTGATGCACTTCTGGACAGCGGCAAGTTTGTATGTGCCACTCGAAAATACTAGTACAAGCTGGCTGATGGTCTTGTTTCTTGCAGAGAGTTGGCGCTATTACCCGGCCTGGATCAATATCCAAGCCCGAGGTGGAGGCGCTGCGCGCGAAAGGTGTAGAGATTCGTGCAACGGACCCCAGCTCCGACAGTCTCGAGAAGTTGAAGGAGGCTTTGTCTGGCGCAGAAGTCCTCATCAGCGCCGTTTCTGCCACCGCAATCGACGGTCAGAAGACGATCATCGCAGCTGCAAAGGAAGTAGGCGTAAAGCGTGTTGTTCCTTGCGACTTCGGGACTCCCGGCAGGCGCGGCGTGCGTGCCCTCCACGACGCGGTAAGTAATACTAATTTCCAATGAATCAGTCGCAACTGATACGTTTGTGGTCAGAAATTGGACATCCGCGAGTATGTCCAGAAGCTGGGCATTGGATACACGTTCATCGATATCGGCTGGTGGATGCAGCTCACTGTGACGGGTACCACTGCTCACCCGTCGCTGCTCGGTCCGTGGTCAGAACAGGTATTCGATAGTGGGCGCAAGAAACAGCTTCTCACGAATGTCGACCACGTCGGGCCGTTTGTAGCGAGGATCGTTGCTGATCCCCGTACGCTGAATCACTATGTGATCGTCTGGGAGGAAGAAATGACCTTTACGGAGGCGAAGGATATTTCGGAGAGATATTCTGGCGAGTGCGAAGCATTGAGAGCCAAGCGCAAATTAGTGCGTCTCACTTCTATATGCATTTTGCGTATGTGGTGCTTACGATATGATACCAGGTATCCCGTGAGGAGCTTCTTAAGCTCGCAGAGGATGGAAAGACGCAGTACGCGAAAACGCATGACGATGCATCACATGCTACCTGGGCGTATGCAGAGTACATGCTCAGCTTGCACTTCATTGGTGAGAACACGCTCGAGAATGCCAAAGCTTTGGGGGCATTAGATGCGAGAGAACTTTATCCGGACGCTCAATTTACCTCGTTTGAGGACTTTTCGAAGAAGTTCTATGCGTAGCGTCCATCTGTTCTATTAGGGTAGATACGAGAAGTACGAATTTGCGTTACACGACCATCTTCACCTTCAGCTTGTCCCCATCGACAATCTCTTGCTTCTTCGCTAACAGCTCCTCCACGTCCCACTGAGAGCTAACGTAGCGTCCGGCTAGCCACTCCCGCCGTTCGCGTACAAGCCAGACAAGCGTATGTGCAGGCAGTTCGAGTGTGTCGGTGACACCGAACCCACCCGTCTTGACTTCGGGAACTTGATCGGCCATGTCGGTTTCGATCACACCGGGGTGGACGTAGTGCGCTACAATGCCCTTCTCGCCGTACTCTGTCATCAGCAGCTCTGTGAATCGCAGAAGTGCGAGTTTGGATGTCTTATAAATAGCCGCCGCCGTCAGTGTCGCGTTCACCATACCCAAAACTCCAAGTATAACGCACCAGGTAAGCAAAGAGATTTGGGATCTTCACAAGCCCTGCAATACTGCCAATATTTACGATTGTCTTGTCTGCACTCTCCAGCAGAAGCGGCAAGAACGCACGCGTCACTGCATACGCGCCTAGCACATTCACCGACCAAGCCTTCCACGCCTCTTGTGGATCCGAGTCCCCAATAAGGCCGTATGCGCCGAGGTAGCCCGCGTTATTCACGAGAATGTCCAACCGCCCAAATGTCTTCTTCACTTTGGCGGCGGCATCGTCCACCTGCGCCAGGTTGCTCGCGTCCAGGGTGACGGTGATCACCTTGAGCGACTGCCCAGGCCGTTGAGAGGCTTCAGCAGCGACCTTCACGGCAGACATGTCGGAGCGAGCGGCGAGGACAAGGCCGGAGACACCAGCCTGGGCAAATGCGATAGCTATCGACTTTCCGATGCCTTTCGATGCACCGGTGACCAAAACAACTTTTCCCTTCAGGTCAGCATTGGCAGGGGAAATAGCTGGATATGTGTCGTGGCGTTCCGTTTGGACAAAACCTGCGCCTGTGGAATAATCAGTTTTCTAGCCAGAGACAACTTCAGGAGGACGTACCTAACTCTGCGGACATTTCGAGATGAGGTGGTAGAAAAGCGGAGTGGAATG